AATAAAAAAAAAGAAAGAAAGAAAGAAAGAACTTGTAGATTTTCATCCATTTCAGGATGTGGCATATGATGTAGAACTAATGGTAGTGAAGGAGGAAGTCGAAGCTCCAATGAAGGAATTGGTGAAGAACAAGGCTCTAGGAATTGACGGAATACCCATTGAAATATTTCAAGGAATGGATGCCCCACTGCAGGCACTCACTCGGTTATGACTAGAGATTTGGAATACAGCCACCTGGCCCACTGACTGGAAGAGATCCACTTTTGTACCCATTCCAAAGAAAGAGGATCCTACAGAACATGGAAATTATTGAACAATATCATTAATATCACATGCAAGTAAGATCTTCCTGAAGATAATTCAAAAGTGGTTGCAGCAGTATATTGACAGAGCACTTTGACAGGTGCAAGCTGGATTCAGAAGAGGACGTAGAACAAGGGATATCATAGCTGCTGTCATACAGATCTTGACTCACGGCAAAGAGTACCATAAAAAGGTTTACTTGTGTTTTATTGACTATGCAAGGGCATTTGTTTGTGTGGATCATAACAAATTGTGGATAACATTGACAAGAATGGGAATTCCCAAAGACTTAATTGTACTCATGAAGAAACTGTACATAGACCAGGAACAGAACATGTGGATGCTGCATTGTTTAAAATCAAGAAAGGAGCATGTCCAGGTTGTATCCTTGCCCCACACTTATTCAATCTATATGCTAAGCAAATAATCCAAGAAGCTGGACTATATGAAGAGAAACGTGGCATCAAGATTGGAGGAAGTCATTAACAACCTGGGATATGCTGATGACACAACTTTGCTGAAAGTGAGGATGACTTGACACATTTAGTGATGAAGACTGAAGAGTACAATCTACAGTGTGGATTATATCTCAATATAAAGAAACCAAAAATCCTCAGAATTGCACCTGTAAGTTGCTTCACGATGAATGGATAAAAGATTAAGGTTCTCAAAGAATTCATATTGTTTGGTTCTACAATCAACACCAAAGGAAGCAGCAGTCTGGACGTCAGACAACATATAGCACTGGGCCAATTGGCTGCAAAGGACCTCTTTTAACTGCTGAGGAACAAAGATGTCTCCTTGAGGACCAAGGTGCGCCTGAACCAAGCCATGTTTTTTTAATCACCTCATATACACGTGAGAGCTGGACAGTGATTAAGGAAACTGAAGAAGAGTTGTGATGCTAGTGAAGAATACTGAAAGTACTGTGGACTGCTAAGAGAACTAACAGGTCTGGTCTGGAGCAAGTGCAGCCAACATGCTCCTTGGAAGCCAGAATGGCCAGACTTCGTCTCACCTAGCTTGGGTGTTAACAGAAGGGACCATTCCATGGATAATGATGTCATGCTTAGTAAGGTCAACGAAAGAGGGGAAGACCTTCAATGAGATGGATTGACATGGTGGCTGCGACAGTGGGCTCAAGTATAGCAAGGATCATGGAACTGGCACAGGATTGGGTGTTGTTTCGTTCAGCTGTGCACAGGGTCTCTGTGAGTCGGAAATGACTCGACATCACCTAACAACAACATGCATATGAAAGCTGGACAATGAGTAATGAATACCGTAGAAGAGTTGATGCTTTGAAATTATAGTGTTGGTGGACAATGCTGCAAATACGATGCTCCTTGGTATCGAGACGGCACAGATGTCATCTCCCCTAATGAGGTCATGTTTTCAGAAGGGACCATTCCTAGAGAAGGATATCATGCTTGCTGAACTAGAGGGTCAGCAAGAGAGGGGAATACCCCCAAGAAGATGGACTGACACATTGGTGGGAATGATGGGCTCAAGTGTAGCATGGATTGTGAGGGTGGCACAGGACCAGACAGCTTTGTCCTTCCAGCAGTCTGTAGTACTTTGAGTATTCTTCGTCAGTGCAACAACTCAACAGGATCAACTCTTCTTTGGTCTTCCTTACTCTCTTTCTAGCTTTCACATGCATATAACGCACTTAAAAGTACTATGGCTTGGGTTAGGCGCGTCTTAGTCATCAAGAGATGTTTTTGCTCTTCAGCACTTTAAGGCAGTCATGCATAGCAGATTTGCCCAGGGCAATACATCAACTGATTTCTTGCCTGCTGCTTCTATGGATGTTTATTGTGGACCCAAGAAATTTGAATCTCTGACAGTTGTCAGTGTTTTATCAGTGTATCATCATGCTGCTCATTGGTCCCGTTGTCAGGATTTTCTTTATGTTGATATGTAATCCGTACTGCTGACTGAAGTCTTAAATCTTCATCAGTAAGGGCTTCAAGTCATCCTCACTTTCAGCAAGCAAAGTTGTGTTGTCTGCATATAGTAGGTTGTTAATGAGTCTTCCTCCTGTCCTGAAGCCGTGTTCTTCTTATATTCCATGTTCTCAGATTGTTTGCCTCACATACAAATTGAATAATATGATAAAAGGATACAACCCTGACACACTCTTTCCTGATTTTAAACCATCCAGTGTCCCCTTGTTCTGTTCGAATGACATTCTCTTGGTCCATGTGCAGGTACCTCATGAGTACAATCAAGTGTTCTGGAATTGCCATTCTTCTCAATGTTATCCGTAATTTGCTATCATACACTGAGTGATACCTTTGCGTAGTCAATAAAACAGAAATAAGCACCTTTTTGGTATTCTTT